AGTAAAAAAAGTTCAGTGGGTAAATATTTGAAAATGAAGAAATGAATACAGCCATAAATATTATTATTGTAATTTTACAGTTGTACTATAACATAAAATAATTATAATTTTTCTTAAATACAGTTAAATAATACAATAGTAATATTTCTTATTTTGTTTAGTAGTTTTATTTATTAGTAGTAATACTAATAATTATAGAAATGATAGAAAACTAAAATACTTGTTTAAAGTGTTTATGTTCGTAGAAGTTTTCTTTAATAATAATAATAATAATAATAATTATTATTATTATTATAGTCAAAATAAAAGTTCAGTGGTTAAACATTTGAAAATGAAGAAATTAAGACGGCTATAAATATTTGTATTGTAATATTACAGCTGTAATGCTAAATACAATTATTATATATTTTTTAAATACTTGATTTTTATTTTACAATAAAATATTACAATAGTAATTTTTCTTATTTCGTTTTTATTTAGTGTTTTTATCATTTTTATTTGATAACAACAACAACAACAAAAATAATATAATATAATATATAATTATTATATAGCCATATTGATATAAAATCAATAATTAATGAAACAAAACCTGAACTTTTTGTAAAATCGCATTTTAAATCACAATCACGATTTTTATTAGAAAAATTTATTTTTGTTCCCCTCAAATCGCACAGCATGAGTTCTAGTACTAGTGATTTTAGCAACTGAATCACCATTTGAGATTCTGAACATAAAACCACAACCAAGTAGTTGCACTAAAAATTATAATCAATGTAACATTTTATGAACTCAGTTCAACAAATATTCCAGAAATCTTGTGATTGACCTGATTCTGTGTGCTGTGAGCTACAGATGTACAACAACCAGCTCCGAAACCTGCCTACAGGAGCAGCCCGAGTCCTCGAGCGAAACATCTCCAATCACACGCCATCTGCTCCACAAACACACACACACACACACACACACACACCAGCTACATCTGACTGTCCGTGACCTCTGACCACCGCAGATGTCTGTCCTGCAGTGTACGTGAGCTTGAGCACAAATTGGGATGTGTAGATTATACAGTAATGCAAAGGCTTAAAGGAATAGTTCACCCAGAAATGAAAAAGTGCTCACCCTTAGTGCATCCGAGATTAGGATGAGTTTGTTTCTTCATCAGATTTGGAGAAATGTAGCATTGCATCACTCGCTCTGCAGTGAATGGGTGCCGTCAGAATGAGAGCTGATAAAAACATCACAATAATCCACAGCACTCCAGTCCATCAGTTAACATCTGGAGAAGACAAAAGCTGAAACTAATCCAGCATTAAGATGTTTTTAACTCAAATGCGAGTCCATAATAACTCTTCCTCCAGTGAGAAAGTGTTCTGGTGTGAATCAGGAGAGAAATCTGCACAGATCAAGCAGCGTTTAAACAGCTCTAAACACATATGTGGCTGGATTTGGATGTGAGAGATAACAGTAGATGCACTTTTTCACTGGAGGAAGCGTTATTATGGATTATGGACCCACTGTATTTTAGTTAAAAACGTCTTAATGCTGGATTAGTTTCAGATTAGTCTTCTCCAGATGTTAATTGATGGACTGGAGTGCTGTGGATTATTGTGATGTTTTTATCAGCTCTCATTCTGACGGCACCCATTCACTTCAGAGCAAGTGATGCAATGCTACATTTCTCCAAACAAACTCTTCTACATCTCGAATGCGCTGAGGGTGAGTAAAATCAGCACATTTTAATATCTGGCTGAACTATTGAGATGTTCCTCAGTTTGAACGTCAAAAGCGTTTGTTAAATGCATGAATGTAATTGTAAGTGCGTTCATGAGACCTCAGTTTGGGCCACTTGTACGCTCCGCTGGTCATGGTAAACGCCCCGATCTCCAGCTGCTGGATGTGCATGGCCAAGATGTGAGCGTCTGGGAGAGTCGGCCGCCGTCTGCTCTTCTCTCCCTCCATCAGACATAGATTATCACTCTTCAGAAACACCTGAAACAAGATCATTAACACACTTTAGAACCTCACTCCTCTCTCTTCTATGGGACCAATTCCTGACGCTCAAACAGCAGAGCATGCGCTCGCAACATCAATGTCACGGGTTTGATTCTTAGAGAATGCATGAACTGATAACATGTAAACTTTGAATGCAATGTAAGTCGCTTTGGATAAAAGCATCTAAAAAAATGCAGAAATGTAAATGCATTAATGTATTTAATTATTCAAAACAACATCAGAAATACAATTCACACAAACAGTGACTTCAGTACACCTCTACAGTGATGAGCATGTTTTCAGAAGCTATTTTAAAATTCATTTAGTTATTTAATACATAATCAAAAATATTTGGGTGGTGTAACTGTGGAG